GTGGGTGTGTTGGTGGTGGGGTGTGGGGGGGTGGTGGGGGGGGTGTTGGGGGGGGGTGGGGGGGGGTAGGGGGGGGACCAACAGCTTTTGATGGCATGCCACTACAGCTGCTGCTAGAATTGCACATGTGGACTGTGAGCCTACACTCTGTCTCTTTACTCGTCCTCTGCTCCACTGTCCCGTCTCGCATGTTCTCCTGAAGGTGTCATCTCCCCCACCTGTACTCCTCCTTGTAGTTCCCCTCTGTGCAGACAGAGGGCGCTGTCGAACTCACTGCATCACTTCTGAAGAACTGGACCTCAAGCTGCAGATGATCCTCATAGTTTACTGATTAAAAGTCTGCTTCCCTGAAGGTGGAGCTCCAGCCGCACTCTGCTGTCTGCGTGTTCGTCCGTCTCTGCTGATGCTGTCAGGAAGGAAGGGACATGTCCTCCTGACACAGTCGAGAGAAGCGTTCTCCAAAACCAGTGCCTCTGACCATTCTTCTCTCAGCCAACAGAACCCAACTCTGTGATCTTATTCCTTCTTTTGGTTAGCTTTGTTTTTTTATTATTGTTATTTTAGGGACAATATTTTAAACCCTTTAGCTTCTTAATTTCCAACATAAAGTAATTAAATCAAGTCCTGCGTTATTTTTTTGTTTGTTTTTGTTTTTAGACCCGAATCCATTTAGAATATTTTAAATGTGATCATTTAGTTCTCACGTTAGAAGCGGGCTGTTTTCTGTGTTCTGTGGAGACGTTGTGAGGCAGCCGCTCAGTTAGCTAAATTAACCCGAGATCAATAAAACTTCATTGCTCTGGCTACACGCTGATGGATGTCTGGGGAGTGCTTTGTCCCGTTGAAAACGTTGTTAGGACGTCTCCATCACCCAGTTTGTTTACTGCACAGCTGGACTGAACTTTATTCATCATTCAAACAAGGATGCTCTTTTTGAAGCACATTTAAAGCATCAGTCCTCGCTGCCCTTTTTAGAACGTTTTAAAGAACAAAAACCACAGATTTACACATCAGACACCTTTGATTTTAATTAATGGCAGAAATCCATCTAAACTTTTTAAAGTAGCATTCTAACAATGACTCCCAATTGTTTAATGGTGAACAATGTGATTAAAGATCTAAATTTGTGTTGGGGATGATCCTCAGCTACTACCACGTTACATTCCAAGTCAATAAAAGTGAAATTGACTGTTTTTCAAAGGTTGGCTGTGGCAGCCATCTTGAATCAGGTTAGATGGAGGTCTAATGATTTGTTTTGAAACGTTTCATGGAAATCTGTCCAGTTCATGAAACATTGTGCTAATGCTACAAACGCTAACTCAGCAGGTGACCACTCCGAAGAAACGGGTCAGTTTCTGGATCTGACATTTCTATATGCGTGCATCATTTATCTGCATGATGACGCTGCAGTTTTAGGTGCAGTGACAACAATGAACATGTCTTTAAATTTCTTCATCTTATTTTGGTACTGCAAGTCCAAAATGGTGATTACCATGAAGACTGTGAAGAAAGTCCATGCTCATTATAAACTAAGCTTTCTGCCCAATCTGCCAAAAACCACATGGAGGCTCGAGTCGTGTGACTGGCCTGTTTTAGGCTGTAGAGAAACAAATATGGACGATAAGTTTAACTGACCTGTTTTCAGCCACTTTGATTGTTTCTATTGGTGAACAAACACATGGTTGTTGGCAGCTGCTTACAAATTATGGAGGACACATTAACAATCCGCATGGGAAAAATATTGTCCAGATCATGTTTGAATTTTTGTTTGTCAGATATTAATGAATTTGACGTGAAGAAGCTTAAATGAAGACTGATTCGGTGCGGTTGTTGCAGACACTTGTCTGCAAAAATAAAAAGTTGGAAACGTGCTTTTTAATGAAAGTCAAAACTAGGGATGCATGATATTGGATTTTTGGCCAATATCTGATATGCCAATATGTTCAAACTTATTTGGCCAATAACCGATGCCAATACCGATATTTTTTCCCTATGCCTGCTTGCAGAAACCACATAGCTTTCTCTGCTGTGGAATTAAAATACATTATTTTGCATAATCTTTGTTAATTTGGACTGCTACCAAATGCAGATGCTGAAAAGAAGGCTGAAGATGATGTAACACTTCAACTTGGATTATGTTTAATGTCAAATTTATTCATGACATTTACTTTCTCTAACACAATGACAACACTTGAACAGTCATACAAAAACAATGCCTTTTATTCATATATATATATATATATATATATATATATATATATATATACACACACACACACAGGTCCTTCTCAAAAAATTAGCATATTGTGATAAAGGTCATTATTTTCCATAATGTAATGATAAAAATGAAACTTTCATATATTTCAGATTCATTGCACACCAACTGAAATATTTCAGGTCTTTAATTGTTTTAATACTGATGATTATGGCATACAGCTCATGAAAACCCAAAATGCCTGTCCCAAAAAATAAGCATATTTCATCCCACCAATGAAAGACAAGTGTTTTTAATACAAAAAACACCAACCTTCAAATAATCATGTTCAGTTATGCACTCAATACTTGGTCGGGAATCCTTTTGCATGAATGACTGCTTCAGTGCGGCGTGGCATGGAGACAATCAGCCTGTGGCACTGCTGAGGTGTTATGGAGGCCCAGGATGCTTCGATAGTGGCCTTAAGCTCATCCAGAGTGTTGGGTCTTGCGTCTCTCAACTTTCTCTTCACAATATCCCACAGGTTCTCTATGGGGTTCAGGTCAGGAGAGTTGGCAGGCCAATTGAGCACAGTAATACCATGGTCAGTAAACCATTTACCAGTGGTTTTGGCACTGTGAGCAGGTGCCAGGTTGTGCTGAAAAATGAAATCTTCATCTCCATAAAGCTTTTCAGCAGATGGAAGCATGAAGTGCTCCAAAATCTCCTGATAGCTAGCTGCATTGACCCTGCGCTTGATAAAACACAGTGGACCAACACCAGCAGCTGACATGACACCCCAGACCATCACTGACTGTGGGTGCTTCAATTCAATTCAATTCAAAAATACTTTATTAATCCCAGAGGGAAATTATTTGTTGTAGTAACTCGTTATCCTCATTTCATTAAGAGATGCTATTGATACTGATGGCTGTAGTCAGGAAGGATCTCTTGTAAAGATCCATCTCACAGTGGATCCTAAAAAACTGGCTGCAGATGCCGTCGGGTCCATCTACCCAGACTCGGCTGGCCTTTCGGTTCCCCCGGGCTGTAGGACCGCCCGAATTCCGGACAGAACTCCTCCCAGAGCGAATGCTGCTCCTCCCAGCAGTCTGCCGAGCTCCTCATCGTTGCGGACAGCCAACTGTAGGTACCGAGGGACGATCCTGTCCTTCCGCTGTCATGAGCCGTGTTTCCTGCTAGTTCCAGGATCTCAGTGGTCGGGTACTCGAGCACAGCCGGCAGGTAGATGAGAATGCGTCCACAGAACATCCTTTCAACTCATTTGAGATTTGGGGCTGTAGTTGAGATATTATTTGAGCTTTTGAGATGTTAATCAGCTTCTGTTGGTTGTAGAAAACTGCCTTGTTTCCATGGTTACGCATCATAACAAATGTCCAAAACTAAAAAAGTTTCAGTAAAAATCCTTCCAGATGCACAGCATCCGATACCAGAGGAAACAATCATCCAAAAAATGTGATTTACATCCAGAAAAATAGGAATTAAAGTTTCCAAAAGCAAAATCTCAGAATGAAAGTAACAGAGCTGCTCCAACATGCAGCCACCTTGAGCGGCGCAATTCTAGAATCACACTGGACTTCTGGCATTTTGGCATTTCCTTCTCCCCAGTCTTCCTCCGGACTCTGGCACCTTGATTTCCAAATGACATGCAAACTTTGCTTTCATCTGAAAAAAGTACTTTGGACCACTGAGCAGCAGTCCAGTGCTGCTTCTCTGTAGCCCAGGTCAGGCGCTTCTGCCGCTGTTTCTGGTTCAAAAGTGGCTTGACCTGGGGAATGCGGCACCTGTAGCCCATTTCCTGCACACGCCTGTGCACGGTGGCTCTGGATGTTTCTACTCCAGACTCAGTCCACTCAGGTCCCCCAAGGTCTGGAATCGGCCCTTCTCCACAATCCTCCTCAGGGTCCGGTCACCTCTTCTCGTTGTGCAGCGTTTTCTGCCACACTTTTCCCTTCCCACAGACTTCCCACTGAGGTGCCTTGATACAGCACTCTGGGAACAGCCTATTCGTTCAGCAATTTCTTTCTGTGTCTTACCCTCTTGGTTGAGGGTGTCAATGAAGGCCTTCTGGACAGCAGTCAGGTCGGCAGTCTTACCCATGATTGAAGTTTTGAGTAATGAACAAGGCTGGGAGTTTTTAAAAGCCTCAGGAATCTTTTGCAGGTGTTCAGAGTTACGTCGTTGATTCAGATGGTTAAGTTAATAGCTTGTTTAGAGAACCTTTTCATGATATGCTAATTTTTTGGGACAGTCATTTTGGGTTTTCATGAGCTGTATGCCATAATCATCAGTATTAAAACAATTAAAGACCTGAAATATTTCAGTTGGTGTGCAATGAATCTGAAATATATGAAAGTTTCATTTTTATCATTACATTATGGAAAATAATTACCTTTATCACAATATGCTAATTTTTTTAGAAGGACCTGTATGTATGTCTGTGAGTTATTTTGATGGAATGGCAAATGTTCATTATCTTTATCGCTAATATCAGCCGATACCATGCCGATAATATCGTGCATCCTTAATCAAAGTCTTTAAAATTCATCATCTGTTATCAGAAACTTATGCTCTTATTTCAGTCCTGGCTAAAGGCAAAACTACGACTGAATAAATGATTAGTTTTATGAATCAGTCTTGTGCACTTATTCAACTGAATCTTAAATCTGATGCAGCTAAAACCTCCAGAAATATTTCTAAAAAAAAAAAAAAAAAAAGTTTAAACTTTGCAGTAAAACGTCCACAAAGTCAATATTTCTGCTTGTTAATTCGTCCTCGGTGAAGCGTCAAGGCCGCAAATGGACACCGTTGGTGTTGCTGGCTGCACATCTGCACAGATCCAGATGCCTGCTTCCCATATGGAGCAGCTGAGCTCCAGCTGTGAGCACAACTCGTCATGTAGAAATAAATTCATGTTAAACAGGCCTTGGCAGAAAAGAAGCTGTATAAACAAGTCTTTAAAAGAAAATGTTTATTTCCTTCTCGTCCCATCATTTCTACTAAAACAACAAGGATACAGCTCTAGAATGTTTTTTTTTTTAATTCAGCTTCAATAAATTATGTGAAATCTTTACAGCAGAAAGGATACGCTCACATTTTCAAAGTTCAGTGTTTAGCACGCAAAGTAAACGCCTTCAGCAGTAACTATCGTTTTGCCCGGAGGCAGACATCAACACGTATGGAGTTGATCGGCATGGCGGGGCAGAGTGCTTTAATTAGTACAGGGGTGGTAGGCAGGATACAAAAATATAGAATACTGTATGAAAGAAGTTTAAAGGGTGAAGGTGTGAGGTCTGGAGCAAAACAGGGAACCTCACAGCAGCTGAATGTAGAGCAGCGATGAGGGAGCGAAAGGTGCTTTGATAAAAAAAATAATTCAAAATAAGCTGCAGAGACGAGACAGCAAGTCAGATCCAAAGATTACTTTCTGTCTGTTTTTTGTTTAAAGGGCATGTTCTGTAACCTGAACTGATCTCAAGTTTGATTTGCGTTTTTGCAACTTATGGAGCTTTCAGTTAAGCGGACTGATTGTAAAAATGCAACCACGACACACCTCCGACCTGAAATAACTGAACAAATAATTGCACCTAAGAGGTAAAGAACAAACGTTTGGTGTTTACAAACGGTACGAACACCTGAACCGTGGCTTCGAGTCCAACTACATTCATATCTCTGCCGCTGCAGTTCTACCATCTCCTCCTGCAGCTGAAACGTTCAGCAACAAACAGGTCGACGGTAAAGGGCGTTAGTTTCCCGTCTATCTGAGTCTGGTTACCGTTATGCCCCGCCCCCGTGGCGTTAAGGTGTGAGAACAAATCAGTGGTGTATGATGGGTTTTATCAGCCGATGTGACGGCGTTACTTTGTTTTATGGCTATGACGGGGGCCTCTAAGCACTTGCGGTCTCATCCTGACCTCGTCCCGTTTGGGAGCGAGCTCTCCTCAACCCCGCCCCCTCCTTGGTGAGGTTTCCTGTCAGGGCGGCGTCGTGCACCTGCTTCATGTTCTCCTTCACTTCAGCCTTGGCGTGTTTCAGCAGGTCAGCCTGGCCCTGAGGTGAGAGGACAGAGGTAAAACGGGGCACGGTTACAAAGCGAGCGGTGAGCGGCCGCTTGTCGATGAGCGCTGGACTAACCTTCAGGATGGTGATGTTCCAGCTGAAGCTCTCCAGTGCTCGACTGACCTTGGAGCCTTTCAGCCCGTCTTTTATCGACAGACACTGCAGATTTTCATGAAACTCCATAGCTAGACGGGGGAAATATGTAATTATTCATCGTGTTTCGAAGAACTAAAACCGTATTTGGACTGAAGTGAAGCAACTGTTTTTATACTGATGACTGTTAATTTATCAGATCATGAGCTAAAATTGAGCATAGCTAAAGGCAAAGTAATAAGTGGCATTAGATATTCGTTCTAAACTTTGGCTTCAACACATGGAGTCAGCCATGTGTTAGCAAAATATTTCACAGACCACTGGATGGATTTTAATGAAGCTTTCAGTCGGTATAAAATGACTAAAACATGTACAAGTTTATTTGGCTGATTGACCTAAAACATGTGTAACTGCGTCAGTTTTACAGAGACCGAGCTAAAACTTGGTCTGGTGGTAGCTGAGAGTCATGCACAACACACAGTCTGAGAACTAACAGATGACGTCGTGCATATCTCATGATGCTCCGTGGGATCGAGAAGAACTTCTCAAGATCTGATGGAAAAAAATGCTAAAACTGTAGCATTTCTCAAAACACAATCTTAGTTTTAAACAGACCGTTCAAGGCATGAAACGAAGAACAGATTTGTACAAACCTCATGCTGAACGGCACAAGAGGAGAAAAATATTAGTACTATCTAATCGTCTGAAGGAGCGCGAGCTTTGGAAAATGCTGAAGAGTTGTGAAAAGCTCAAACGGATCTGGTATAGATGAGGAAACGGTCATCAGAAGTCGGCTAATTAAAATCTGTGCATTGAGTTGTTTTCATGTGTCTGGATGCCCCGGGTCACTGTCCCACTGTTACCATGGAAACCCAAAAGTGGGTTAACGCAGGGCAAACATCACAGTGAGCCTAGACGTTTAGCATGCTAAGTTATGGACCCCACACACACACACACACACACACACACACACACACACACACACACAC